CTTTCGATTTAATCATCAAAAATATAATATAAATATAGTCCATTCAATCAGTTTTTATATCCTGTGTATAGGATTGTATTATTATACTTGTTTATTTTTAATTTCAAATTAAAAAATAATAATTTTTTAATAACTAAACCAAAAGATATTAAACCAAATATTAAAATATATGGTATACCAATCGCACTCAAAAAAAAAAAAAATCCCAAGTTATATTTTACAGCTAATTATATTTAAAATTATTATGCATCTCTTCGAATTTTAATATATTTAATAACACTCTAGTTGTTGGTTGATTTCCATGTGTCAGAAATTAGTAAAATGCCACGTGGTTGGTTCTCACCTCGTTTGGTAGATGGTGAGAAAATGATGCTAGGGCTGCCGATCTGTTACAACTTACAAAAAGACTTTTGATGATCCCAAATTATTCGTTAGTTTGTTGCTTTGGCATAAATGGTTGGTTATGTGGAAAGAATTTAGACTATGACCATCCGATGGGGGTTGTTGTCACACTTCCTTTTATCTTCATTATATAATTTAATTATTTTTTATTAATTTATAATTCTTAAATAATTATTATAATATTTAAAAATATTTATTTATAAATTAATTATAATTTATTAAATAATAAATATTAATTATATTATTAATTATCAATTATTTTTAATAATCAAATTAAAATAAAAATTTACATAGCCCTGATAAATTTATGAGTGGCATGAACATAAATTTTAATTTCTTAAATTAAATTATTATTTAACTTTTAGGGTAAAATTCCAATTTATGCCCCTAACATTTTTTTCCTTATAATTATACCCAAGCCTTTTAGAAACTGATTTTACTACTCCTTCCAATTTGCACCTAAGCTGAGTCAGGATGTGTTTGGGATCAAATTCTCATATTGTTCTTTTTGTATAGCACCTTGTTAAAAATGTTAACTTATTATAATTAATTAATTTTATTTAATATTTCATATAATTTAATAATTAAAATTGAAATATAACACTTTTTTCATAATAATTTTTAAATACTAATAGTTTTCTAAATAGAAGATACATAAAACCCATAGCCACAACCACAACATACATCAACCTAAAATGCAATCTCACCACATTTGGGATTGTTGTGAAATAATGATTGTAGTAGTTTCTGTATTTTATTGTTTCCAAGTGTGTTTGATAAGAAATGTGGCCTCAATTGGTAAAGTAAATTTTTTAAAAAAAATTTATAGTGTGCATAGTGCATTGTCAACATTCACATTGTTTAGGCAATCCACATGTGTTGATTATTATTATCTAAATTAATCTTATCTAGTAAAATTGTTGACACTTTAATGTCCAAGAACTATTTTGGTCCAAATTTTAATTAATTATATGGGCTTAATTATGTTAGAGTGTGCCATTGAGCCAAGCGTATTTTTACTTGTAATTATGTTTATATTATCTATGTGAGACATTCATTTATTGCATATTATTGTCATTTTTTTGCATATATTAATATCAATAATGCCTTAACTATGTTTGTTACATCAAAAAGTAATAACAATTGTCGCTATTAATGGGAATTGTATGATACGATAACAACATTTTTAAATTGTTCATTAGACATTTATATCTTTGAGATGGGACATTTTATAATGTGTGATACTTTACTAGGAAGCAAGACTTCTTCTCATGAAGTCATGTATCACATGTGAGTGATTCAAAACAAGTGAGTGCACACTAAAACTAACCTACTATGAGAACACTATATATACATATCATTAGTAGTTTCTTAGCTATGACGTGAGTATAAGTGATCATTTGATTTAAGACTATTATTATTCTATGTGAAAACTCGCATAATTTAATGCTATTAAAAACAACCATTATGAGGGGTTACTAATAATATAGTAATTAGGTGTATCACAATTCATATGAGAATAATGAGTGAGTTGAGATAGGATTCATGCCTCTTGAGTTTTAAGAGAAAAGATATCTTTGTCCTTTTGATTAAGATATGACTACTTGCAAATCCATTGTCATCATAAGAATGAAAGGTTTCATTCAAGAAGTATGTCCATCTTGAGACTCAAATTAAGAAAATGTATCAAACTTTAATGATAATGACACATAACATGCATTTTGCTTTATTAAGATATAAATGACGAAGAGATTAAATAACACAAGTGCATCAATCATAAGAAGGTTAGTCAAAGCTGTCCAGCACTCTTGGTTCGTAATTATTTCTCATTGCCATTTTGATGAAAATCTAGAGGATCATACACTTAGTGCATTTATGGAGATTGAGATTTCTATAAATTCAAGTTTATGGATATGGATTTTTTTTTTTTTTTGTACATCAAAGTAAAGTAAACTAAACTAGAAAGAAATTAATAATAAAGGAAGCATGCCCCCAACTGATCCCTTATAAGGATGGACTTTAAACCACTCGGTGAAGAGTTCCAAATGCTTAAATCTGGTGGTGAAGAGTGTCCCAAGGAAGCTAGGAAGTCTGTCGTAGCATTCCCTTCTCGCAAAGTACATTGAAAAATGCAAACTTTAAACTCTAGCATCAAACTCTTAATATCTACTAAAATTGTTGTAGACAAATTATCTAGTACCTAATTCTCTTGAATAAGGCGAATGGGCATCAAGGAATCCATTTCAACAACTATTTTAGTGAAACCAAGAGATTTGCATAATTGAAGCCCTTCTCTAAAATCACAAAGCTTAGCAATAAAAATAAAAGCATCACCCACATTGATTGTGAAACCAGAAAGCCAACAACCTAAGTTATTTCTAATCAAGCCTCCTACTCTTACAGAATTACCAACAACATTATAAGACCGATCAGAGTTTAGTTTGTACCATCCCTCATCAAGTGGAAATGGATATGGATTAATTTAGGAGAAAATACTATTTTCACAAGTGAAACAAATTAATCAAGTTTTATAAATTAAATTGATAGAGTGGATTAATTTAATTTAATCCATCAAAGTTTGAATTTGTTCAAAGTTAAAGACAGAAAATTCAAAGTGGCAATTAAGTCCTTGGAGGACATCTTGGTTGATCATAGCCCATTCGTTACAACTTGTGTGACACAAGGACTAGGAAGAGCCCTTGGTCGAATAGGACTAGGAGGGATGGCAAAGAGAAGGAAAAGGAAAGTTCTTCCTTGTTTTCTACTTTAACCAAAAGAATAAGTTTAATAATTCTAATAGAATTAGAATTGCAAGTTCTCCTATTTCCTATTAATATATTTATAGATGTAGAAAACAAAATTTTCTTGACTTGCATTTCAATTAGGCTTTTTATTGCTAGTACTTTGGGAGATCTAATTTTCTTCAAATCTCCAAACGTACATGTGGATCACTATTATAGGAGATCTAACTTGGAACTCTTAGGCTTCATTAGAGGATGATGGTCATCATTGAGGTATTGATCATGAGTCTGCCTTAATCGTCAATGGATTCATAAAGATCTTTAATGGGTTAAAAGAGGAAAATTTTTAATTTTTCCTTCCACTGTGTGCTCTTTAATCCCAACAAATTAATCCAACATACCATTTTACAACCCTAAACACTAGTCTTAAATCGCAATCCACCTTACCATCGATTCATTTCTCCCACAATCTTATTCTACAATGGATTATCAAAACCAAACTACTTGAAAGTCAAAACTCCAGTCCTATTTTCTTTTGTTTTTCTAACCACTCAAAACTCCCTTCCCAATTTCCTTTCCTTTTCACATCCCTTAAGTTTTATTAAAACACAAAGATGAAGAAACCAATAGGAGTAAAGAAGTAGAATCGAAGATGTACTGGGCGAAGAAAGCAAGTGAAAATACTTTTCATGTAACCAGCAATGGTTGTCATATCATGTCTTTTTGTTGAAGAAAAAAAGAAAGGTTTTTCTCTATCCCCAAAAAAAAAAAAATGATTTTCTATGTGTGAAGGTATATTATTCAAAATTTTTCATTAATTAATAGAACTCATAAAAATTTTAGACTTTGCCTTTGACATTAATCTTAATGCTTTACATTTTTTAAATACAATTGATTATATGAATTAGTTTTATTTACATGATTTCGAATTTTAAGGAAATACTATTCTTGCTAGAGTTCAAATGGAGAAGGATTTTATGAATTTTAGCTTGGGAAGAGAGCCATAAATCCAAATGTTAGTTTCATGTTTTATTGAATTGTTATTTAATTTTTAAGATAAAACCCCAATTTATACCCCAAACATGTTTTTCTTCATATTATACCCCTAACATTTTAGATTTTTTTTATTATTCTTCCAAATCCTATTGAGTTGACTTAGGTTGTGTTTAAAGTCATTATCATAAAGTGTGTTTCCATATAACATCTTCATTAAAATAGTTAATTATTATAATTTTATTTTATTTTATTTAATATTTTGTGTAATTTAGTAATCAAATTGAGA